TGTCGCTGCCAACCAACTACCATACTTGCCCCAATACATCCAACCAGTTCCATTGGAAGCAATCATCAAATACTCTTGCAACCAAAATCCGTCATAAAAGTTAGGACAAAATCGCAAGCAAGTCCGTCAAAAGAATTACGACAGAATCCGAAACTATATAGGGTATGTTTTACCTGCTTTGCTGGTCCAGTCAATACCACCTATATAGCTTCATTGATTGAAGTCCAACAACGAATGTAAATTGCCCGGTCGCGCGTGCTTGGCCAGGACATGTCGATATCCTTGCTTTTGAGAGTTTTGGTGCGCATGCTTTAGGTTCGTACCCAACTAGCCTCATACCTTTGCGCGCTCGCTGACGTGTCTCACCGTTCCCAGCAGCCAAGAAAAGTGCTCACCGGAGCCCTTCGTGATGCTAACGATGCACTACTCGGCGTCCATTGCATCACTCGCATCACCAGACCCCATTGTCACTGCTTTTCTGACCCTCGCTTTGGAGCGCTCTCCCCAGGCAAGCTCCGGGTTCACCCTCTCCAATGGTGCCTTTTCGCGGCCTACCCCCCCCACACCCCCTTAACTCACTTCGTTCACTCTAAGAGCTCAAGCCTAGCCGCTAAGCCTATCGGCTGGCTTTCGTAATATAAAGAATGCATACATGTATATATATATATATATATACATCATAGATTTGTCCAGTCTGGGAATTTTAACACACTTTCTCTGCAGTAGCTGGCCTAAGATGCGTCCGCCACCTGTGGAGGTTCCTACACATGCTTTGGTCATGGAAGTTCACCTTCGCACGTCAGGCTACACGACAAAGATCAACAGAGATCCAAAGTTTGCAAATACATGTTTTTAACAATTAAAAGATATCAACGACGCTGGTCAGGTGGACCAAAAGTCTTTGAAACAGCACCTTTCAGACACGCAGCCATCTGGGCACTCTGTCGCGCAGCTGCCTCCTGGAAAGTGCGCATGCCCCCCTTTTTCCCCCTCCCTGATTCTCGCTGAGAGTTGAGCAAATGAAACCTTCGGCGCATGCATGCAGACTTTGCCACCGGGCAAATCACCCGCGAGTGCTTGAACATGTTTGAACTATATGCCTACATGCCATGACACAGAATGTTCATTTGGTTCCCCTTGCTCCATCTCTAGCTCCTCCCGGCACCAAGTACTGATTGTTGCCGCGACATTGAAAAATCCAGGTCTCGTTTACGCAGCTCGAGGCAAATTCTGGGCATGATTTGCACACGCGGCCTTCATCGCCTCAAGGAAGCTGCAAGCTCTGAATCCACGACAGTTGATAACTGATCACTCTCCGAACGTACCAAGCAAAGTCGCCACGGCCGCTCATGTAGTGGTCGGTGGGGCACTGCAAAGAGCACCTGGACAGAAACGGGAGGGGCAGAAAGCAATGGCCGACCACTTCGAAGATGGGCGCCCAAGATGCGGATGAGACATTCAGAGCCCTTAGGATGTGTTGTCTCAATTTGTCTCGCGTCAAATGAGACAAATGGAGACATTTTGACAGCGATAATCTGCTCCGGCGTCAAGAAGAATGGAGCTTGCTAGCTGAAGAGGTGCTCTCAGTAGCTTCTTGTTACTAGTAGCGATGCCAGGAGCCCCTAGTAGCGTCCTTGGCCCAAGCAAAGGAATGCCATCTTCTCACCTTCTCTGGCAGTTTTCATGTCCGTTTAGAAAGGATAAGTCTTAGATCAGATCTCCCTTTCAGAGAGAACATTTGCAGAGAAATTCAATTGAGGTCTTCCTTTCAAATTGTCTTCAATCTCCGACTCAAAGCTGCCTTGCCTTCCAGTCAACGGGTTCAAGAAAGTTCCATCCTTGCAAACTTCGCAAGCTGTTGCGCTGCAAAGCTTGCAGGTGCCTCTAAAGCTGCAAAACGAGACTTGCTGCTTTAGAACAAGCCATGAACGATGTCTCAACTGTTGCGCAAAGGCAAATGCGCATTATGAGTTGCTTCGCATTCAGCAAGTCCAGCGAAAGCAGTTAGGCCTGGGCATATCTTGCAGACGCCACCAATCTTCGATTCCCCTGCTTTCATCTCGCCATCCAATCCAAAGTACCCATCAGGGCAAGTTTGGACGCAGGAAGTGTTCCTTAGTTGAAACGTTTGTCAGCATTTTGCTATCGCACCAGTTCACAAAAGCACGCAACCCAAGATCTGACGAGGCTCCATGGATCCAAATAGGTGCCCTCTCCACATTCCAGGACAAATGTCTTGTTTAAACCTGCAAGTGTTTCTCTACTGTAAGTGTGAGCTTCCAAAACCTGTTAATGCCGGTAAATATCCAGTTCGACGCAGGCTAAGGCTGATCTTCTGTCGCACTGGATCCTTTGAAACTACGGATCATAGGGATCTAGAAAGTACAAAGAGTAAAGTGTTCTAGGTTGGATGCCAAGAGCACAGTTTCTTTCATAAGATCTAAACTCTCAGACAAAACACCGCAAGAGGAACCCTTGCTTGTTCAGCTGCATCGATCGACTCGGACTGACGCTGCGAGCACAGCTTTTTGTCCAAGTCCACAGAGGCGTGGGGTAAGTGAACTTGGTTCCATACACACGAAAATGAGAGGGGTGATCACCATCAGACCCTTTCTTCACATTCACGTGAACACTCCTCATGAGTGGCTCGAAGAGCAGAGAGGGTTAGATACACACAAGATCAAATCAGAACAAATTGCTCTGACCAACCCCTCACTGAACTGAAAAAGGCATCAGTTTTACACGACGCACATTGACCATAGTCACCCTTCCTTCGCTCCACGGTCCGGTTCGCCTAGCACCCCGTGGCAGATCACCACAGGGCGGGCAGGGTTGGGTGCTTTCACCTGGCGTGTAACTCGAGCCGAGTTCACTCGCCAAAATGGCAAATACTTGAACAAGCTAAAAGATCAATCAAACACAAAAGCAACTGAACAGTTTAGTCCTAGAGTTACACTCTTGACCCAGACCAACCTTACCGACATCAAGAGCCCAACTCTCAGACAAAACACCGCAAGAGGAACCCTTGCTTGTTCAGCTGCATCGATCGACTCGGACTGACGCTGCGGGCACAGCTTTTTGCCCAAGTCCACAGAGGCGTGGGGTAAGTGAACTTGGTTCCATACACACGAAAATGAGAGGGGTGATCACCATCAGACCCTTTCTTCACATTCACGTGAACACTCCTCATGAGTGGCTCGAAGAGCAGAGAGGGTTAGATAGACACAAGATCAAATCAGAACAAATTGCTCTGACCAAACCCAGGCCCACCATCGTTTCTAAGTGCTGGAACCAGCAACTGAGCCTAGACAGTCGGGCCACTTAACCTCAACCGTCGACCATCCGGCCTGACGACCTTTAGCCAGATTATCTCTGGAAGGCCAGTCGGCTGGATTCGCGTCAGTTGCGACCCGATCGATAAAAAACACGACATTGTAAATCGAGAACGAGGTCCCAGAACACGGATACCAAAAAACAAAGATCTTCACGGCTTGAATAGCCTTTCACTAGCGCGGCTTCGACTACCTCCGAGTCGATAAAAATGAACAAATCAGCTCGAAAGAGTCGCGATCGCCGCGTTTCGAGGGCTAGAATTGGTGCGAGCATTTCAACCGGGATGATCTGAGTCCTCCGGTCGAGCCATTTCCGTTTTAAACCTTCTGGGACCACGGCTGTGAACTGCAAAGGAGAAAGTAAGCGTCGATCGAACAAGACAGCGATCCGGCAACCATTCAACATCACCCGGGTCGGGCGAGAAGCCGTCTGTAAAAAGAACACAATCGGCGCGTTTCTGAGCACAAAACTCGATCGTCCTTGGTGGCCCTGCCTCGATCAGCTTTCTCCATTGGGAGAGGGCCGCACGAAGGGGTTTATCCAAGTCGAAACGATTGTTCAACGGAAAACGACAGTACTGCCTCTCAGAGAAAAAGCGGAGGAAAGCCCTTCCGACCTTCCCCCACAGTTAGCTAGCTCCAACATGAGCTTGCCTTTCAACTTCCCCGAGCGTCCCGGGTCGAGCGACCCCGACTGCAGAACGTCGTCAATTTCTTCAACGAGCTCTTTCTTACGATCGGCCTTAATTTCCAAGACCCAATCGACTAGGTTGTAAGTAACTCCAAGAAGGACCGGTTTAATAGGATCTAGCTGGAGCTTCTTAGCATCAAACCGAGCACCTAGCATCCAATGCACGCTCCGAGCTGCAGCGAACGCCGACTCGATCGACTCCACCGGCTCGAACCCATATTTATCATCATAAAAATTGAAGGAAACTAAGTTAGGTTGAACAACTTCATGAGGATCTCATTGATTGCAGCAGATCTCCTATTGTAATTGTATACAGCGGAGACCAAACCAAAAGAGTGACCTACCATGACGAAAAATTCAGCCTTGCCCGATTTGGGGTTCTTCAGGCAGATGACACTGAACTTTCGATGATCCGGCCGAATGCCAATCTGGCGGTAGGCCTTGCGCTCATCCAAGACCCATCCTGCGAACGAGGCGTTTGGCATCAAGGACCTCAGTAGCCTAAGAACTGCCACATTCGTGTCAGTCGAGGGCAGCTGAAGTTTTTCAGTGATCACTGTGATCTGGTTGATAAAATTGGTGGTTGCACTATCACAGCCTCTGACCTTGTTTTTCTGAACCACTTCAAATCTCTGGGTTGGGATCCAATCATCGGACCCAATACGTGCAGTCACTTCGTCCGGAGTCACGAACGGACCTAACGTTGACCCTTCTTGGACATCATCCAAAGTAGCATTCCAGATCTTAGAGAGGTTCTCAGAAACGTCGACCGACTGAACTCTTCGAATGATCTTAGCTCTCACGGCCCAGGCCCTCTCGAGCGCATGCTCAACTGGAAGCGCTGTCTGCTCGCGGTCGAAGGCCGGCCATCGACCAGACCTGGCGATCGGGCCAACAATAGGGAAGCCTTGCAGCAATAGATCGGGCAAAAAGACTCGCAGGCATTGAGCATAATATAACGCGATGTGGCAGCATTGGCCGAGCTGGCAAGGGACCTCATCAGGGCCTCCGCATAACAACGCACGCAGAGCTGGATCCGGCACCGCCCGGAGCATGGCTTCCGTAGCAGGCAGCAGCACGCGAGCGCGCGCCTCAGATTCTGCAGCCAAGCTTGTACCACACCATGTGGGTCTTGAGCAAGAGATTGAACAACGTGACGTAGCAAACCATCGAGCTCCACTTCCACGCACAGTGGGTGAGGTATGTCGAGCGACCATTGAATAGCGGTGCCCGGCTCCGTCTCGGTGTCCAGCAAGGGTTTGCGAGCACCACGTTTCACGTGGTACCCAGCGGCTTCGGCTTTCAAAGCTGTCACACCCTGGCGATGATCCCGCCAGCGCAGTGGTTGACCAACTGGCCGTTTCCGGTCGGTGGACAGCAGCTGAAAACTATCGGCAAACTGAGGGCACTGATCATACCAAAAAGATCCAATAATACTGACCCACTCACGCTCAGGATAGACTTGAGCCAGCTTCGTCTTGAAGACCCAACGACCGAAGAAGTCGGGCCACACTTCGCCTTTCAGTCTCTCGTGAGCGTGTCCCCCACGGCATCAGCGATGTAGCTGAGCGAACGCTTCATGGGACACGAGCAGTGTAGCCTCCGTCTATAGTTTGCGAGCTGAAGAGAACGAACGTGTTGCAAGGGGTCCCACAAGGGAGGAACCGAACGGCTCCCAGGTTGACTATACCATGATAAAGTCCCAGTTCACTGCATTGACCACATCGAACGGAACCGGAACCTCGTCACAGATCGCGACGTCGACTCAAGCCAGCAGTCCGAGCTGCTTTCGTGAGGGCGGCGGTGCCCGAAAAGATCTCCAAGAACCACGGTCCATGTGAAGCGACCAGAGCAGCGTCCCGAGGGACTTCCGACCAAGACTTCCAAATAGGAGCAACATCAGGCACTTTCAGCTGATCAGCGACCGCTTCATGCGTGCCCTTGGGCTCAGGGGCCAGCAAAGGTGGAGTTTGAGCCCTTGACTCCACCTCCATCAGCTGAACAGCTCAGTGATTCCCGTGGCAAGGGTGGTCTTTACCACACTCGACACAAACATGAGCACTCTTGCACTGATCCCCAAACCGGCAGCCAAGCGAGCAATTGTACCAAGGACAGCGGCGCTTGCCGGTGTACTTGAAGCTGGTGATCTTGGCCCACTCGTGAGGTGGGACCCGAGCATCTTTCTTGGGAGCTTCCGTCTTCTTGGATCCAAGATGATCACGAGCAGCGGCCACCAGCTTCTTCTGCCATTCACGCCGAGCCTTGTTCTTCTTGGCTTTGGGCGAAGGCCTGTTTGGCGTGACTGAACGATCACGCTTTGCCCTCTTCGGTGGTGTCTCAGGAGCCTGTTGCGAAGCTTGCTTGAACTTGTCTAACTCTGCGCTCGAACGAGCATCGTTCCACAGTTGCTTGTGGTTGGTGAGCGCCTCCAAGAGAGCGCTGGAGAACGTGGTGAACGTCTTGCGATGGTCTGAGTTCAAACGGTGAATCTTCTTCCTGATCAGAGAGTCCACCGTCAACAGATCCTAGAAGAGCCAGGCCTCTGTTGTCATGGCGCCATTCCTCAAGCTCTGACAAGTACCTGAGGGGGCCAGCTGCATGCGAGAACTCGCAAATGTTCAAGTACTCGAGCGCGATGAAGAATGCGTGCAGCTTGTCCATAACCTGAGACTCTGAGGCCGCAGACACGGGCTGATCCACCGTGACCACCTTGAGCAAGTCCTCCGCGTTCTTGGAGAGGCACTCTTCTGAGCAGCTGTCTCAGTGCGTGTCCTGAACTCACCGACCTCATAGAAAGGCACCGACCCGTGAAAGTGATCCTGCAGTGTTGAGCATGTCTTCCAGGTGGCCGCCAAGGGTGTGAGCGCCAATTCCTGAGCGGCAGGAGTGGCACCGAGGTTGGCCACGTCTCCGACGAGCGTCTTCAAACAATCTTTCACTGCGCCGATCGTGTCGCCGAGCATGGCGAATGTCTCCACGCTCAGCAGACCACAGTCAGCAGCCAGCTTGCATAGGTCGGGGGACAACCGCTGTCGACCGAACACCTGGCGAAGGCCGAGCTCTGGGACCTTAGTGGGGTCATAGACCGTGCGGTCCACCATGATCGCTCTGGGAAAACATGAACATGTGCCCGAAAAACAAAGCAATGACCGACTCTCGTTTCTTCAGCCATGGCGGCTGGACCCGCCCCCCGAACCGGAGTCCCTGGGAAGTACCTGAGCCGCTGGGTCGTACGACGTCAGGACGTCAGGCCGAGCTTTGGCGCATGCCATGCAGAACACTGAAGGATCCGGCAGGGTCGAGCCGACCGACGAGCAGTCTGCGATGGCAAAGCGACTGCACGCCGTCCGTTCTGTGGACTCCAGCAATGTACAATGAACTTGTACTCACAGTAGCTGCCAGGGCTGGGCGTCTTGATAAAGAACTCAGTTGAGCTCAACTCCGCCTCGTGTGCATCGACCAAGAAGGTGTCTTCGTCCTCCTGAGCCGGATGACACTCCTGAACTAGGTCGTTGACCACCTGCTTGATCATGGTGGCCGGGACCGACGTTCGGTTCCTGGTGTATTTCAGGACCATTGGCGCCGGATTCTTCCAATTGGCTTGAAGGCCAATTTCTTCCTACACGAATGGATGGTAAACTCATTGATCATTCGAGCGCAATGAACTTTCTCTGAGCGTTCAAGAAGCTCAGTGTCGTCTACTCCTCGACGACTCAAGTATTTCAGCCACTGCAACGAACGGGCGTACGATGGTTCCTCAGTCTTGTGAACTCATCTCGAGCGTTCAACTCAGGCGCCCAAAAAATCTCAATCGAGCGGCTGGGCGAGCAAAAAGAGATCCCATCCCTTCTGCAACCACTCGGACGAGAAGAAGCCGACTCGAGGGACCACGAACCTCGCGCCGATTCATTTCCTCTCGACCTTCGTTTGCCACGCAACACCGAACAGGCCTTGGTCCTCCATGTTAAGCTCGCGCGGCTTCACATGGATGGCATCATCAAACCTGAGCGAGGCGAAGATCATACACAAAAGCCACCAAACAAAAATACGGAGAGGTACTTGATCCGTCTCTAACAACACACTCCTCGAGCACTTTCACGACTCCGATCGGAATGGGGACTGCTTCCTTCAGGGTCTTCGCTCGGGCTGTCTCGACCTCTTTCTGACGGGACGTGAATCGAGGATCCTCAAAGTCCGGCGGGTCGATATAGCCAGCCTGGAGCATACCCACTTGACCGCTGCTCTCAACGAAGGGAGCACCAATGGGCCAATCACGCTCATTCAAAAACAGGGAGTATTTGAGCGCACGATCGATGGACAAGGGGTATATAAACTCAAAGACCAAGCTCCGAACCACTTCTCCATTCTCTCGAACGTCTGAACATGCGAAGCCATCGTTCGATGAGCCCCGGCCACAAGTACGAGCTGCTTTGAGTTGGAGGCGTTCGCCTGGTGTGAGCTCCGTCCCAAGCTCTTGTTCTTGGAAGAGCCTAGAAAAAGGACCGGCTCTCTTGGCGATCTCCTCCAAACGAGCCGCCCACTTCCACTTGAGGTTCCTCTCTTTGTCCAAGAGCGGGGCGCTCGACGAACTGTCACTAGCTACGACTTTGGCCCGTTTGGGCGCTTTCTGTTGGAGCAGGTTGGCGATCGCCGATTGCTTCCTCAAAGCTGCCGACGGGTCACCCTTCGACAGTAGAGGTGTGCGATCACACAAACCAAACCCGAGTTGACACGCGGTCGACTCAAAGTATGCTCTCTCCACTGAACAGGTCAACGTCCAGAACTGCTCAAGCATGATCTCACGACCCTGAAAAACATTCAGAACATCGGCCTGTATTTCCTCAGCGAAAGTGAGCGCCTTCGCTGCAAACTCTGCTCCCGAACGAGCCTCCATCGCCGAGACGAAGGCGAGACTCGACAGTGGCGTCTTCCAGAGCGCCTCATTGAACGGAGCATCGAAGACGGGCAATGCTAGAATGCGGTTGATCCACCTATCAGTCCTGGCCCCCATTTGAGCAATGACTCGATCGTGCAAAGGTTCGTCGACCGAGCGATCACAAGCATGATCATGCACAAGAATGCCAATCACTGAACAGTGTATCTTAGTAAATTGATCAACCAAGCTCTACACATCTTAAATACAATCCTGCCACACGACATGGAGTGAACATCATGCCAACATGATCAGAAACCCCCTACTCATGAACATGATGAGCAGGTGTCTGATCAACCCTTGGCTAGAGCACTCCCGAGGCCCCACGACCGACCAGGCTGGGTATCTTGCCTCACAACGAGCGCACTCGAACGGCACAGCCACCCGGCCGATCGGCGTGATCGAGTGCTTTTGCACAACCACTTGACTCGGCCTCTAGAGTTGTGGCCAGGATCCTTGAAAGAAAAAGAGATACTATGAACAAAGAAGTGAGCACTGTAGACCCTTGCAACTGGCGCAGCGCCCTGCTTTTTCATACCCTGAGCTCCAATGTCGTGAAGCTGGACAGCCTTAGGACCTCAGACATCTGCGACATCTGTGCCCGGCTGAGGCGGCGCAAAAGAACGAGGGCCCTGCGGAGGGTCTGCATTGACCTCCTCAATGGTCACACTCGTTCGAGGCTGCGCCCATGGACTGGAACTCCAATGCCACGAGCGGCATCCACAAATGCTTGGGGGGTCATGGCCGACGCATCCAGCTTCTCAGCCCCCCTCTGCTCGAGCGAGCGGCGCGCTGGCGCTAATGACCCACCTGCCAAAGAACTTGGCATTGGCGCTTGTCCCGGCTCCGTCATCGATGGTCTTGAATCGCTGACCGGTCGAACGGCCGCTGCGTCCATCTGAGCTGGGCCCAACAATGACCTAGGCAGGGCTGGAGCCGATTCCGGTGGAGCCACCGTGGCAACGACCTCATCCAGTGGGTCATGGCTCTGCAAAGCGAGAGCTTCATGCTTGACAATGACCCTGTCCTTGCGGTAGGGCGGGCTCTCCCTGGCCAGATGGGCGTTGATCGGGTTGGACTCCACGGCGATCGCCGAAATGCGGGGCCCCGTATCCCGCTCTGTTGGGGCATCAACGGCCGCCGTCCAATGAGCATGGACCGCCGCAAGCTGTGTCAGCTGGAGGATCTGATCAGGACATTCCATCCTTGCGCCGTGATCACGGCAACACTTGGCGTTCTTGATGAGAAGAGGTCCTGAGATGCGACTTGCCACCAGCCACGAAGGTGGAACTGATTCCACATTGGCAGCAAGGTCCAGACGATCGCTGGCGCTGAGAAATCGCATTTCCAGACGATCTGCGTCGGCGCCGAACGCGTCTGGGCTGGACGACGCCACGAAGCGACATTCCACGTGGCACAGTGGATAATCCAGTGCCACAACGACCCCTCCGTCTGAACAACAATAATCAACAATAGAGCCTGCCACCGACCTCGAAAGAGATAGCCACCACTCTCCAGCCTTGGAAGCAAGTGACGATGAACGACGGGATGAACACCGTCTCCTGCAAGATCGAGTGGATCGCGTCCGCAACGTGGCACAGTTGAACACTGCAGTCACGATCGCTTCGATACCCCCGGAGTTCGAGGTGGATCAAAAGGCGGCCTTCCACTTTGACCTTCAAGTCGATCCATGAAGGACGAGGATTCCGTCGTCTGAGGCCACCTGAACGGTTGGAAAGCAGAGTGCGACATGACCTCCCCCGTGAGCGCATCCCACTTGGCACAAGGAGCACTGCTGTAGGAAGTCATAGTGGCGCAGAACTTAACTTGACCGAGTCCAACGTCTTCACCATGAACAGGTTCAGATGGTATCCAGTTGATGGAGCCCTCACCAATGACCGATCGGTCCTCACATTGATGTACGACAAGGCATTGGTCAACACCTCGTCCAAGAGCCACCCCTGAAAGGGTGACTGGACTCGACGATCACGACCATCCAGAATCAGAATCGAGCGCTCGTCTGTCCCAGCCCCGATCTGGGAGATGCACTCTGGTGGAGCCTGATTCAAAGGATTGTGAGCCGGATTTGCCTGACCCATAGCACCCCAGCGAATGCCTCGTCGACCACGTCGCTGAGCTTGCTCCTGTTGTCTGCGGAGCCGTCTAGCCACGGGGGGCTCATGGGTGTGATCAAGGAAACCCTGAGCGGCTTGGTTCACTGGAGCCGCCTGGCTCGAAGGCATTGACTTCAGACTTCGGAGGCGGCGGTGGAGGAGTTTTTTTGCGCTCGCTGCTGGGCCTCCTTGACCCTGGTCGGTTGACCCTTGCTGATCTCCTGACTCTGAGGGCTGAGCAGCCTCTGTCGTTTGGTGTTCACGAACTGTTGGCAGAGGTAGATCGGCAGGGGGTAGATCAGAACTCTCTTCGAGCTGAACCCAGGAGGTTGAGGAACCTGTATCGTCCCACCTCGAGGCGGCGTTCGCCATTTGCCTCTGGTAGGCCGCTGGCCAGGCCCTAGAACTAGGATTGCTTTCACCTTGGCGTGTAACTCGAGCCGAGCTCACTCGCCAAAATGGCAAATACTTGAACAAGTTAAAAGATCAATCAAACACAAAAGCAACTGAACAGTTTAGTCCTAGAGTTACACTCTTGACCCAGACCAACCTTACCGACATCAAGAGCCCTGAGCTACAGCTCTTGCATCTCTTTTCAGTAACTTTCCGGGCGAATATAAGCGATCAACACAAACCCTACATATAGACAAAGATAACAGACCGATCCTTCGAGAATAGAACATGCAAGTTGCGAGGAATTATATATATATATATGTATGTCAATGTACTAGTAACGGTTTGCTCTCCTATTTGTCTCATCACATCAACTGTCAATTTCGCATCTTGGCTCCAAACACATTAGGTTTGTCTTGTAGAGCTAGCTCTTTGAATAAGTTGTTTCTCTTGATTACAGTAACTATGACCGATTCACCTACAGCAAAGCTGCTCAGAATAGGCACCAATTAATGCAGCGAGCAAAAATCCAGCCCGATAGCAAGAGAAAATATATTAACATCTACCAGGCCCTCTCGCCAACCCACACCAAAATCATGTAACACATAAATTTCAAGTGTTCTTTCAGCAATACTGCATGAAGCACCACTGTTCCCCTCGATGTAGCCATGTTGTTGTTGCACTGAGCAGCATTTCACGCTTGCAGGAGGGCACGCTGCACAAACCTCACAAACAGCCAAGGGCCAAAAACCAATGAGTTGAAAAAATTATACAGCAGAATGCTTATATATTTTTATATTTGTTGCGCAGTTACAGTATATTGAAAAATGTTGAGCAAATTTTACTTAGAAAATGTTTTATATAGATCAAACATAATTTGTCAAGGTCGCTCGCCCAGGTTCTTCAATGCCAACTCCGAAGAAACCATCCGGACATTGTTCCACGCATTCACCATTTGGATCTAGATAAGTGAACTTGTTGCATTCCTTAAGGATTAAATCGAACAACCAAAGGGTCAAAGGTGATTCAAAAACAATAACACAGTACGAACCTGGTAAACATCCAAGAATCCGTGCAGCCACTGCCCAAGCATCGATTACAACTTTCGGAGCACGGCTTGCAAGCTCCACCAACCTTGCGGCGCTCGAAAACAGTGTCCAATGATCCTTTCAAGATCTCAACCCATCAACAGCTGGTAGCAGCGCCCTCGCACCTTCACCCCCCAGTAGTGGTGCATGTACCTGCCTTCCTCCATGTATTGGCCTCGCGAATTCAAGCAAGGCGCGTGCTCAGCAAACATAATCACATTATACAATCCAAACAATTAAGGCAACATTGGAAATAATTTGGTTTGGAGGCATCAAATTCTCGCCTTCTTGACAAGAGGAATCACAAGTGCCACGGGCAGTCAGAAATGTCCTCAGGCACAAAAAACCCATTGCAAAAGAAACACGCAAGCTCATATGCAAAACATCAGACACCTGAAAAGTTACAAAAAACACGGAATCCTCCTCTAGTTTGGGCGGTGGGGTTGTGGAAACAATTTTTTGTGACTTGAACATTTCCTGCGCAAAACTCATTTGTCCTGTTTTGTATTTTGTTCATATGGTTCCCGACTATCTGAAAACATACAGTAAAACAAAAAACAATACGTCAAACATTGCGCTGCGCGGCTTTGCCTAAGACGGTCACAAGGGCCTGAGTATCCGTCCCCTTTCTGCTTTGTGGGCGACGACGGCAAGTTGAGCAAAGCAGTAAAAAGGTGGGTTTGGGGGGGCCATACGCGTTTGGAAATGCATTCCCGAAAGCACCTGCGAAGGGTTCTCCGTACAAAACGGCTGCCAACCTCAACTGCCCAACTATCATCATAGACATCACAGTCAGCATCATTATCGTCACCATCATCACCGTCATGATCACGCGCCATCATTATCATCATGTCTAGGGCGCAGAGACGCAAGTGATTGATATGATTGTCAACCGTCAGCATCATCATCATCATCATCACCATCATCATCGTCATCATGAGGTCACAAATGAAGGTAATGCGTCTGCTGTAACACACTGAGACAGGTGCTTGGATACAGCTGTGGAGCTACAGGCGTTGAGGTACACAGGCATGGCAACATTTACTATTAAGACGGCCGACCAACGCTCACGAAACGCCACCCTCTGCCGAGATCGCGCGTGGGGTGCGCGATATTGCGGTAATATATGAGTCGTCTTTTTCCTTGGTGAACCCTTTGATCGCGCGCGTTGGACGCTCAATCGCGCAACTCAACGCGAATTTGATTGAGTTGTCCTTGGTGAGACCTTTGCGGAGATCGTGCGCCCTGTGAACCTTTTGGGGAGATTGCGCGGTCCAGCAGAATCAAACGTGAGGCGAGGCGCAAATTTTGTTTGAGCGCGGTTGTCCTTGGCGAACCCTTTACGGAGATCATGCGCATCGAGCGCTCAAACGCGTCCAACGTTAACTTCTAACCTGCGACGAAACGCAAATTTTTGTCTGAGCGCGCGTTGAGTCGTAAAAGTGAAGAGACACGCGAATTTGAGCTGCCCTTGACGAGCCCGAGCGCTCAAACGTAATAAGACGAATGCGAATTTGAGTTGCCCTTGCAGAAATCGCGCATGTCGAGCACGCAAATATGAGGCGGCGCGCGAATTTGAGTTGTCCTTGGTGAACAAGCGCGCGTCGAGCGTTCAAAGGTGAGGCGAAATGCGATTTTTTGGTTTGTCCAAGAGTGTGAGGCGACTGTCTTCGATGTCACGTTGAAAGTTTTGCCGAAACAAACGAAAGTGGACGTCGCCAAAGTGCGTAAAACTGTCATCGAAAACGAAGGTTGCCAAACTGTTTAACTGTCGTCGAAAACTAAGGTGGACGTGGCCAAAGTGTCTAACTGTCGTCTCGTCGAAAGCGAAGGTGGACATTGCGAAACTGTCACTGAAACGACAATTTTTGGCACACATGTAGTACAGGCAGCAGCTTCTGGGAGCTGTCACCTCACTTACAACTTTGTAGTACAAATGACGCGCGGACAGCACATTGCGAACACGCTGGGATTTAGGGGGATGTCTCAGTTGCCCACGCAGTCAAGTCCCACCCGTTTGTAACACGTTCCTCCCCGGAAGACACGACGCAACAGTTCTCTTCCCTGAACGATGTGACCTGAGCGCCGGGCTCTTGATGTGTAAAGTGGCTGTTTGCCGTCGTCTTACGTTTCACGTTTGTTTGTCATTGTTTTTTCTACTTTGCGACGCGCGGCTTCGAACGCAATGCGCGCGTCGAGTCCGCGTCGAAAAGGGTGAGTCAAGTTGAGGGGCGCTTCCTTCTCTAAATTTTACCCCTGCATTGCCCACAAAAGGGTGAGTCAAGTTGACATGGCAACATCCTTCTCTAAATTTTACCCTCGGGTGGCGCACCGCAGGGTGAGTCAACTTGGAATGGCCACTTCCTCCTGTAAATTTTACCCTCCACTGCCTCACCAAAGGGCGAGTCAACTTGGACTGACCACTTCCTTCTCGAAACTTTCCCCCTGCCCTGCCCACAAAAGCGTGAGGCAAGTTGGAACAACATCCTTCTCTAAATTTTACCCCTGCCTTGCCCACAAAAGGGTGAGTCAAGTTGGAATGGCAACATCCTTCTCTGAATTTTGTCCCCTGCATGGCCCACCAAAGGGTGACTCAACTTGGAAGGGCAAAACCCTTCTCTAAATTTTACCCCTGCGTGGCCCACAAAAGGGTGAGTCAACTTGGAATGACCACTTCCTTGTCTAAATTTACCCCTGCATTTCCCACACAAAGGGCTGGGTCAAGTTGAAATAGCAACATCTTTCTCTAAATTATACCTTTGCGTTGCCCACAAAAGGGTGAGTGAAGTTGGAATGACCGCTCCTTTCTCTAAATTTTACCCCTGCATTGCCACTTTTTAGGGGTAAGTGAAGTTGAAATGGCAACATCCTTCTCTAAATTTAAGCCCTGCGTGGCCCACCAAAGGGTGAGTCAACTTGGGCAACATCCTTCTCGAAATTTTACCCCTGCATGGCCCACAAAAGGGTGAGTGAAGTTGGAAGGGCCACTTCCTTGTCTAAATTTTTCCCCTGCGTTGCCCACAAAAGAGTAAGTCAAGTTGGAGTGGCTGGCCACTTCCTTCTCTAAATTTTACCCCTGCATTGCCCACATAAACGGGTGAGTCCAGTTGGGTGAGCCAACTTGGAATGGCGACATCCTTCTCTAAAATTTACCCTTGCGTTGCCCACAAAAGGGTGAGTCAAGTTGGAATGACCACTTCTTTATCTAAATTTTACCCCTGCGTTGCCTACAGAAAGGGGTCAGTCAGGTTGGAATGGCAACGTCCTTCTCTAAATTTTCCCCCTGCATTGCCCACAAAAGGGTGAGTCAAACTGGAATGACCACTTGCTTCACTTGCTTCTCTAGATTTAGCCCCTGCATTGCCCACACAAAGGGGTGAGTCAAGTTGAAGTGGCAACATCCTTCTCTAAATTTTATCCTCGGGTG